GGGTCTCTGTTATCAGGGCCCTGACCCAGCTCCTGAGGCCCCGCCTCCTGCCACCCTCAAACCAGGCATCAGTTTCAACGTGTGAATTCGGAAGGACACGCACCAGACCACGGCGCTCCCTGACCATTCTAAGAACTAAAAAAATAAAACAAAGTGGGAGTCTTTTCCCTGGAAATGGCTGGTACATGGAGTAATTTGTCTTTCGTTAAAAGCATAAGTTAAAACAGGCCACTGTTATCATGAATTCCCTGTATTGCTGGTTTAGGTAACAAAAATATTCAGGAAAAAAGCTACGAGGATCATTAGCGGAGGTTCGGGCAGGTGAGAGAAAAGGGCCCAGCCCACTGGACTCGCGTGGAGCCCGAGCAGCGCCGGGGCCCTTCCTGCTTCCCTGCCGCTCGCAGCTCTGCCCCTGAGGGGCTGACACCGGCTAAGGTGGGGAAAGGGGGCGCAGGGGCCCAGGTCTAACTGGCCGGAGGAGCTGTGCAGGTATCTCGACGTCCAGCTGGGCTCCTTGGGAGGCTGACGGGACAGGTCCCTGTGGCCTCTCGTGCGCTGAGAGCGTGTTCCTTCCGTAGGGAAGTCCGAAGACTCTCACGTGCTCCGCGTCCTGGAGGAGAGCAAGCTCCGCGTGGACTCTGCCATCGACAGCACCGTGACAAGGTACAGCGTCCCAGGGGCAGACGAAGGGGACGTGTGCCCGTCACCCGGGTGTGCTTGGTCCCGTGACAGTCTTCACGTATTTACGGATTTAATTTCACAACCACCTCCAAAATGGGCCCCAGGGTTTCCGTTTTACAAGTTCGGAGCTGGAGCTCCTGTGGGTAAACTCACCACCATCTGCGGGAGCAACTGGAAGGCGCAGTATTCAGCCCCGAGTCTTTCATAGCAAAGCAGAGCAAAGCACAGCCATCCGCCCGGACTGACCCCTGGGCTGGATGGACAAGGGAGACGGAAGTCCTGGTGGGTGAGTGGGCATCCCTCCCGAGAATTAGTCACCGAAGACAGAGACAGGACTGCGTGGGGGCCGAGCTCCCTTGCCCGCCGCTGGGATCCAGCCGCAGCTCACCAGGGCTCTGGGATTAAATCCACCCGGGGTCCTCTTTAAATAATTAACACACACCCCGACTTAAAATATGGAACTGACATCAGTGTCAAGAATATTATGGTCTCATATCAGGAGTTTGTGAAACAAAACAAGCAAACAGACTGAGAACCAGGTTTTATCCTCGGGAGCTCCCTGCTTTGCTAGAGGCTGACTAATAAATAAACTCTCAAGATCTAAAACGTCACCAGGCAGCAGCTGGCTTATTCCAAATGTCTACTTTTCCAGGCAGAAAAATTCCCTATTATCCACACTGGCTGCAAGTTTAACTTTTCCTTATTTTCTAAAAACTGTGCTGTAGGAACCTCAGGAAAAGAGAAATCGTTTCTCCGTCTCAGCTTCTGTCTTTTTCCAAACTCCCTGAGCCCACGAGCCGAGCCATCTCCCGAGCGGCAGAGATCNTGAGCCCACGAGCCGAGCCATCTCCCGAGCAGCAGAGATCATGGAGGCGTCGGTGCAGGCGATGAGGAGGGAGCACCCCAAACAGCCACGGCCTCCGGCAGGTGAGTGCGGAAGGTGCCCTGGGCCCCTGGGAGCAGAGCGGCAGCCACGGGGCAGACCAGGGGACCTTGTTCGGGGGACCGGGCGGGGGTGGGGCTGTCCAAGGGCATGTCTCTCGCTTGTCACCAGGAAGGTGTGACTTCTACTCACTCGTAGGGGAGCAGCAGATGGTAAGACACAAGATTTTGTTTATGTTCGTCTGAGAAGTAACTGATTCTGTTACTCAAATTTGACCTGGGAAACTAGCTCACAATTAATTTGGTGAATAAAAAGCAATAAATCGGCAAAAAAAACCCCAAAACACCAAAAAACAAAAGAGCCTGTTTTCTGGGGCCCTGAGCTAGAACATTCACAAGGAGGGAACCAAGACCAGGCGGCAGGAAAGGCCTGCAGGGGACACACGCAGGCCGTCATCAGACTTGGCCCAGGCAGGGTTTCGGGTGGGGAGGGGTGAGTACTGGGCGGCCACCGTCCTCTGAGCGGCCACGTGGCCAGACGCACACCCCAGCTGTGCCCGCTGACGAGACGAGCCCAGCGAGGTCCTGGTCGCCGAGAACTGGCCTCCCCGAGGCTCAGCTCTCAGAACCGCTTTCCTGAAAGAGCGCAAGGAAATGAACTGTAAAAGCTCATCTTCTGAGCAAAGAGGAAGCCGCAGGGGGTTTAGTGCGAGGATGTCACCGGGAGCCCCAGGCTCCAGGGGCCCGCAAGGAGCCTGCTGTCAGGAGGCTGTGTCCTCACAGACGGGGCTCACGCTCCGACCTGTTTCCCCAGATGCTCTGTCAGAAGAGCTGCTGAACACCATTGCCAACCTGTCGGGGTGCCTGGCCCACATGCTGCCCCCCCAGTGTCCGGACACCTGCCTGGCGGACAGGTACCGGCTCGTCACGGGAGCCTGCAACAACAGGTATTGTCTTTCGTTTCCTGATCTTCTCGTGCAGGTTGCATGTGAACATGACTAGATGGTTTGTGACTCCCTCCCGGGCTCTGAGCCCCCGGTTCCTGGCCACTCACCCACCTGCACATGTCTGGACACCTGGCTGGCTGGCACTGCCAGCCGGAGGCCAGTGTCGAGCCAAGGGCCTGGGGGAAGCCAACCCGAGTGTTTTCCTTGAGAAAGGTTTATTGTAAGTGGACATTCTGCCTTCTGCCTCCCCGCCTGGCTCGCCTGCCCACCTTGTTTCCACAGAGACCACCCCAGGTGGGGCGCCGCCAACGTGGCCCTGGCCAGATGGCTGCCGCCTGCCTATGAAGATGGCATCAGCGAGCCCCGAGGCTGGAACCTCAACTTCTTATACAACGGGGTTCCCCTGCCCCCAGTGGGTACCCCAGATGCTGCGTGACCCACATTAGGATTAGGTTCCCATGACCTTTCCCTGAGCCCCCGGGGGATGTGGTGGGCTCCGTGTGGGGGTTGGGTGATTCCCTCCAACCTGACCCTCTTCGGGGTGAGGTCACATCTCATGTTATCGATGAGGGGCTGAGGCTGCAGAGAGGGGGGACCAGCTAGTGAGCTGAATGCCGCAGGTTCAAACTAAGGCCCGTCCAGCCTTCTCTGCCTCGGTGTGTCAGTAGCTCCTTAGCTCACAGGTAGAAGCCAAGGCTTGTTCAGAAACTGATTAGTTAGGTGACTCACTCATTTGTGCAATGCCGACGATGGCCACTCTGCTCCCAGAGGCAGGTTATCCACTAAACCCAGACCCAGTCCATGTACGAATCACGTTTCTCACCCAGGTCCGGGAGGTAACAAGGCAGGTTATCCAGGTTTCTAACGAGGCCGTGACAGAGGATGACCGATACTCGGATCTGCTGACGGTGTGGGGGCAATACATCGGCCACGACATTGCGTTCACGCCGCAGAGCACCAGTGAGGCTGCCTTCGGGGGAGGGTCTGGCTGCCAGCTGAGCTGCGAGAACCGGAATCCGTGTTTTCCCATCCAGGTGGGACTTTCACACATTCCTGTTTATCATGAAAGGAATAGATGCCATTTAAAAAATCAGACCAAGGAAGTTCCTTCGTCCTGTTCTCAGGGGGTAACAGCTGTCAAGGACTGATCTATGCATATGTGTGCGTGCTGTGTACATACGTGGGTGCATATTACATCCATGTGTCCCCTCCAAGCATCATCAACAGCTCTGAGCCTGGGCACTGGGCAGCAGTTCTCATACGTCCCTCCGGGTCATTACATGGACTGGAGCTGGATTGTCTGATGACCTCTCAGTGCCCATTGTGTGCTCACACTGACACATGCAACCAGTCTGCTCACGAGTGAGCATCCTGTTGTTCTCAGCTTTGTTGCTAACACGCCCGCTGTCACAGATAAGAAACTAACAGAGTCAACCTAGGATCCAGGCGATCGGGGTTTGATTCCCGGTCAGGGCACATGCCCGGGTTGCAGGCTCGATCAATGACTCTCTCATCATTGATGTTTCTCTCTCTCTCTCTCTCTCTCTCTCTCTCTCTCTCTCCTTTCCTCTCTCTGAAATCAATAAAGATATATTAAAAAAAGAAAAAAAGAAAAGAAACTAACAACACACTGGGCCCAACCCTTGGTGCGCAGCTGCACACGGGGCCGAATCACCCCGAGAGGACTGTCACCCCGAGAGGGCTACCCCATGCAGGGCCGGCGCCCACAGATGTTGCAGATTTTTTCTGTTAACAGTGTTCGAATTTCCTCTCTCCCACGAGGCGAGAGAGAGTACAGGCAGGGGCTTTTCTTGACTGGAGGGGAGGGCTGGCTTAATTAATGGCAGCGATGCCATTGTAGGATCGTGGCTGCCTGGGGTTCCTAGTGTCTGTAAAGAGGGTGCCGGGAACCCCAGGTGACCTGAGCCCCCTTTCTGGCAGCTCCCTGAGAACACCTCACCGACCGCTGGCGCCACCTGCCTGCCCTTCTACCGGTCGTCCGCCGCCTGTGGCACCGGGGCCCAAGGCGCCTTGTTTGGCAACCTATCCACGGGGAACCCGCGACAACAGATGAACGGGCTGACCTCTTTCCTGGACGCGTCCACTGTGTACGGCAGCTCCCCGGCCCTGGAGAAGCAGCTGCGGAACTGGAGCAGCGCGGAGGGGCTGCTCCGGGTCAACTCGCGCCACTGGGACGCCGGCCGGGCCTACCTGCCCTTCGTCTCGCCACGCGCGCCCTCAGCCTGCATCCCGGAGCCGGGCGCCCAGGGCCGCGTGCCCTGCTTCCTGGCTGGGGACAACCGAGCCAGCGAGGTCCCCCCGCTGACGGCCCTGCACACGCTGTGGCTGCGGGAGCACAACCGTCTGGCCACCGCGCTCAAGGCCCTCAACCCGCACTGGAGCGCGGACACCGCCTACCAGGAGGCACGGAAGGTTGTGGGCGCCCTGCACCAGGTGTGGGCAGGGCCACGTGGGCGCCCTGGGTGGTGCGCAGAGCCCTGGTGGGCGCCCAGCACTGAGGTTAACAGCAGCTCCTGGAGGACTGGGCCAGGCCTGAGCTCTTTCCCCTCTGGGGTGGGTGGCGATTTTCTCCCAGGAGGCTGACAGCAGCCACAGCCGCTCAGCAGCCGCAGCAGCTTCAGTCCCTCCCCTGCGTGCCTGGTGCCCAGGGCATTTTAGGGCTTTAACTTATTAAATCCAACTAGCAACCCCTTGAGGTGCCTGTCCACCAATGCTTCTGATGTTTTTATGTTTTGAAGGCAGTGGAGAAAATGAAAAGAAAATTTGTGTGAAATTTGTTAATTAGCAAGTTAAATAAGAGTATTAATTCTTTCCTCATTTATGATGATTTTTAATGTGGAATCAGAGGATCTCGGATGAAGTCTCAAGTGGGCCAGCCACTAATTGTGTTGCGTGTTTAGCTTGTCTGCTCGTCTCACCTTCTACCCCCTGTAATTAGACACGTCAGAACTGTCCTCTTGCTGGTTGATGTATGTGCGGTGTATGCGTGTGGTGTGTGTATGTGTGCTGTGTATATGTGGTATATGTGAGTGGGTATGTGCACATGTGGTGTGTGTACGTGTGATGAGTACATGTGGCATGTGTGTGGTGAGTACACGTGGTGTGTGCATGTGTGTGGTGAGTACGTGTGGTATGTGTACATGTGGTGAGTACATGCAGTATGTGTACACGTGGTGAGTACATGCAGTATGTGTGTGTGTGGTGAGTACATGTGGTGTGTGTGTGTGGTGAGTACATGTGGTGTGTGTGTGGTGAGTACATGTGTGTGTACGTGTGGTGTGTACATGTGGTGTGTGTGTGTGTGGTGAGTACATGCAGTGTGTGTGTGTATGTGGGTGTATACATGTGGTATGTGTACGTGTGGTGTGTACATGTGGTATGTGTGTGTGTGGTGAGTGGCGCAGAAACTAGAGGAGCAGGTGGGAGCCTGACACACAGGCGCCCGATGCTGGTTAACACTGAGTCCTCCTTCACTGAGTTACGACCTTACTTGGCAGATGCGGGTGGAAGATGCTTTTTCAGATAAAAAAAGCTCGGGGAGGCTGGTCCAACCTCCTGGAGTCACAGAGCTAAGCAGCTGGGACGAGAACTCGTGTTGGTCTGAGTCCTGAGCCTCTGGTGCCAGGATTCCTTGAGCGACAGATTCTGATGTTTGTTGTAGGCTCAGGTGCTACTGCTGGGTGCACGGGCAAGGTGGGCCTGAGGGGAGAAGTTGGCTTGGATAGAAAGGTTTCCGTGTTTGTGAGAGGAGCCCAGTGGGTGGCACCCCTCCTGGCCAGTCGTCAGAGCTGTGGCCCACGCTTGGCTGGCCCACCCTATCCTGCCCTGCCCTGCCCTGCCCTGCCCTGCCCTGCCGTGCCGTGCCGTGCCACAGGGGGTGTCCGGGGAGGAGGGGTGTCTCTGACATGCCCTNCGCAGCAGCTTCAGTCCCTCCCCTGCGTGCCTGGTGCCCAGGGCATTTTAGGGCTTTAACTTATTAAATCCAACTAGCAACCCCTTGAGGTGCCTGTCCACCAATGCTTCTGATGTTTTTATGTTTTGAAGGCAGTGGAGAAAATGAAAAGAAAATTTGTGTGAAATTTGTTAATTAGCAAGTTAAATAAGAGTATTAATTCTTTCCTCATTTATGATGATTTTTAATGTGGAATCAGAGGATCTCGGATGAAGTCTCAAGTGGGCCAGCCACTAATTGTGTTGCGTGTTTAGCTTGTCTGCTCGTCTCACCTTCTACCCCCTGTAATTAGACACGTCAGAACTGTCCTCTTGCTGGTTGATGTATGTGCGGTGTATGCGTGTGGTGTGTGTATGTGTGCTGTGTATATGTGGTATATGTGAGTGGGTATGTGCACATGTGGTGTGTGTACGTGTGATGAGTACATGTGGCATGTGTGTGGTGAGTACACGTGGTGTGTGCATGTGTGTGGTGAGTACGTGTGGTATGTGTACATGTGGTGAGTACATGCAGTATGTGTACACGTGGTGAGTACATGCAGTATGTGTGTGTGTGGTGAGTACATGTGGTGTGTGTGTGTGGTGAGTACATGTGGTGTGTGTGTGGTGAGTACATGTGTGTGTACGTGTGGTGTGTACATGTGGTGTGTGTGTGTGTGGTGAGTACATGCAGTGTGTGTGTGTATGTGGGTGTATACATGTGGTATGTGTACGTGTGGTGTGTACATGTGGTATGTGTGTGTGTGGTGAGTGGCGCAGAAACTAGAGGAGCAGGTGGGAGCCTGACACACAGGCGCCCGATGCTGGTTAACACTGAGTCCTCCTTCACTGAGTTACGACCTTACTTGGCAGATGCGGGTGGAAGATGCTTTTTCAGATAAAAAAAGCTCGGGGAGGCTGGTCCAACCTCCTGGAGTCACAGAGCTAAGCAGCTGGGACGAGAACTCGTGTTGGTCTGAGTCCTGAGCCTCTGGTGCCAGGATTCCTTGAGCGACAGATTCTGATGTTTGTTGTAGGCTCAGGTGCTACTGCTGGGTGCACGGGCAAGGTGGGCCTGAGGGGAGAAGTTGGCTTGGATAGAAAGGTTTCCGTGTTTGTGAGAGGAGCCCAGTGGGTGGCACCCCTCCTGGCCAGTCGTCAGAGCTGTGGCCCACGCTTGGCTGGCCCACCCTATCCTGCCCTGCCCTGCCCTGCCCTGCCCTGCCCTGCCGTGCCGTGCCGTGCCACAGGGGGTGTCCGGGGAGGAGGGGTGTCTCTGACATGCCCTGCCCAGCCCATCAATGCTGGAGCTCTGAGACTTTGTCTGGTGTTGGTGTTGCTGTACCTGCTCACCTGTGCCCTTACCTGGGAGGCGTGGCCCCCTCCTGGGACACTCTGAGCCTCAGGGCTGCGCAGGAGGAAACCCTCCTTCCCTGACCCCGAGTCGGCACTGACCCCTCAGCTTTTGAGCCTGGCTCAGAGGCTTGCGTGTCTCCTTTCTCGTAGATCATTACCTTGCGAGATTATGTCCCCAAAATCCTGGGCCCCGAGGCCTTCAGGCAGCACGTGGGCCCCTATGAGGGCTACAACTCCACCATGGACCCCACGGTGTCCAACGTGTTCTCCACGGCCGCCTTCCGCTTCGGCCACACCACAGTCCACCCGCTGGTGAGACGGCTGGATGCCCACTTCCAGGAGCTCCTGCCCCCGCTGCTGCTGCGAGACGCTTTCTTCAGCCCCTGGAGGGTCCTCAAGGAAGGTGCATCCCCCCACCATCCTCTCTATGGCCTGTGCTGTGGGCGCCAGGAGGCTCCATGTGTCAGGTGGAGGGAGCTGAGAGGGGATCTGTTTCCCACACAGGGTCCCATGGGGATGGCTGGTGCTTTGCAGGTGAAGGGAGCCGGCTCCCTGACACCCTCAGGGCTTCTTAGCTCAGCCAAGTCCCTCTGCTGTTACTGACCTTAGAATTCAGCGAACACTTCCCTTTACTGTAATGTTTTTGCTGCAGGAAAACACACACACACAAAAACACTTGAGCATCTGACTCAGACCTAAGGCCTGACCCCTCCACACCCCCCGAATCAGTCCCCACAGGATCCAGGCAGGGCCAGGCACCTGGGGACAGCACCCTAAGAGCACGCAAAAGCTTTGCAGCCATGAGGTGAACCGTGGACTCACAAGAGATGTTTGTTAAGAATGAGTGACGTTTATGGTCTGAGCTGCTGCTCTCTCTGCAGAACCAGGAGAGACTGGTCAGCTTCCCTGGGGTGTTTTGCAGGTGGTTTGGACCCCCTGGTGCGGGGCCTCCTCGCCAGGCCGGCCAAGCTGCAGGTGCAGGGCCAGCTGATGAGCGAGGAGCTGACCGAGAGGCTCTTTGTGCTTTCCCCCGCGGGGACCTTCGACCTGGCCTCGCTGAACCTGCAGCGGGGCCGGGACCACGGCCTGCCAGGTCGGCACCCTGTCCTTTCCACACCCCTTAGGCTGACCCTGGCCCCTTCCCACCGTGGCCACCCCCCCATGGGCTCCTGGAGTTCAGCTATCGGGTTGACCTCCCTGTGTGCCTGGTGACCCCTCCAGGCCAGGGACCACTCCACTGTGTCTTCCTGCTGACGCAGGGGCCCCGCTCTCCTCTGTGGCTGGACACTGTGGACGGGAGGCCAAGGTGTGGACACAGTGTCAGTGTGGGAGGGGCACTCAGATGGGTGAGAGCCGGCCGTGTGCCCCGTGCAGGTTACAACGACTGGAGGGAGTTCTGCGGCCTGCCCCGGCTGCTCACCCGGGACGACCTGAGTAGCGTCATTGCCAACGGGAGCATCACTGACCGGATAATGGGCTTGTACAAGCACCTGGATAACATCGACGTCTGGCTGGGTGGCTTGGTGGAGGCCTTGCTGCCGAGTGCTCGAACGGGGCCCCTGTTTGCCTGCATCATCGGGAGACAGATGAAGGCCCTGAGGGACGGGGACCGGTAGGTGTCGGTGACCACAGCCTGCACAGAGACGGGGGCCCCACGGGGTTCATGTGAAGTCAGCCGGACCTGGGCCCAGCGTGGGTGCCACAGCTTAGCACCGCGAGGCCCCAGGCGGGCCAGTTCCCACCCCCTCGTGACACTGGGTTATTATATCAGTGGAATAAATATAAAACACGTTCATGTTCCGAGCACCTTACACATGAGCCCCAGCTGGCTTTTCCACACCTGTGAACACACAAACAAGCAGATGCCGCGCAAGGAACACGCTGTATGTCAGACGACCCTGAAACACCACCATCCTCAGACACCCAACCCGCTGTGGACACTGCAAACGCGGACAGGCCCAGGGGCTCTTTCTGGAGCAGGGACGCCCGACGCCTGTCTTCTCAGCCCTCGACCTCCCTCAAAAGTGTAGGGTGCCCAGCAGGACCAGAGCGGCAAGGTCCCTGTCCCTCCCTGTCCCTCCCTGTCTCTCCTTGTCCCTGTCTGTCCCTCCCTGTCCCTCCCTGCCTCTCCCTGTCCCTCCCTGTCCCTCCCTGTCCCTCCCTGTCCCTGTCTGTCCCTGTCTGTGCCTCCCTGTCCCTCCCTGTCCCTCCCTGTCTCTCCCTGCCTGTCCCTGTCCCTCCCTGTCTGTGCCTCCCTGTCCCTCCCTGTCCCTCCCTGTCCCTGTCTGTCCCTCCCTGTTCCTCCGTCCCTGCCTGTCCCTGTCTGTCCCTCCCTGTCCCTCCCTGTCCCTCCCTGTCTCTCCTTGTCCCTGTCTGTGCCTCCCTGTCCCCCTCTGTCTCTCCCTGTCCCTCCCTGTCCCTGTCTGTCCCTCCCTGTCCCTGCCTGTCCCTGTCTGTCCCTCCGTCCCTGCCTGTCCCTTCTCGTCCCTGCGTCTTCAGGCTGCAACTCACCGAGAATCAGGAATTTGGGGACAATTCAGACAACAGTGGGGAAATGCTTTCCTTTTTCTAAACAATCCCTACACACCAGTTCTTTCTTCTTTTGCTAACCCGAGGACTTTTTTCCATTGATTTTTAGAGAGAGTGGAAGGGAGGGAGGGAGCGGGGCGGACAGAGAGGGAGACATCGAGGTGAGAGAGACATCGACTGGTTGCCTCCTGCAAGGGCCCCACCCAGGCCGGGGATCGAACCTGCAGCCCAGGTCTGTGCCCTTGGCCGGGAATCGAACCCTAGACCCTTCGTTGCTCAGGCCACTGAGCCACACCGGCCAGGGCTTCCTTCTCTTTTTCTAAACAATCCCTACACACCAGGCCTTTCTTTTTTTCTGTAGTCACCGGGTCTGTCAGGTTTTTTAAGAATATTGATGTTCCCTCAAGAGAGCGCCTTAGCCTCCCCCAAGCCCCCCCCCCGATGCAAGTTTGTTATTAATTTCCGAGGCGCAGCACGTCACGTGGTTAGGGATNTCGAACCCTAGACCCTTCGTTGCTCAGGCCACTGAGCCACACCGGCCAGGGCTTCCTTCTCTTTTTCTAAACAATCCCTACACACCAGGCCTTTCTTTTTTTCTGTAGTCACCGGGTCTGTCAGGTTTTTTAAGAATATTGATGTTCCCTCAAGAGAGCGCCTTAGCCTCCCCCAAGCTCCCCCCCTNCAGGTTTTTTAAGAATATTGATGTTCCCTCAAGAGAGCGCCTTAGCCTCCCCCAAGCCCCCCCCCCGATGCAAGTTTGTTATTAATTTCCGAGGCGCAGCACGTCACGTGGTTAGGGATTATTGGGGAGAAATAACCGGGCGTCACTCAGAACGGTGTCCTCCCCCCCGTGGGTGTCTGGGACGCGGGAGGCACCGAGCCGGAGGCGGCACTGTCTTCGGCTCACGCTGCTCCCTCGGGTGCAGGTTTTGGTGGGAACACAGCGGGGTGTTCACGGAGGCGCAGAGGCAGGAGCTGGACAAGCACTCCCTGTCCCGGGTCATCTGCGACAACACGGGCCTCCCCCGCGTGCCCCCCGATTCCTTCCGAGTTGCAAGCTTCCCCCAGGACTTCCAGCCGTGCGAGGACGTCCCCGGCCTGAGCCTGGAAGCGTGGAGGGAGGCGGCTCCCCCAGGTGACAGCCTCTCGCTACCTCATGTTGACCACGCGGTTCCCCCGCAGAAGGGGTTTCACATTAGCACGTTTGGAGAAAATAGCGAGGGACGGAGCCCATGCCCTCGGGGACGGCGCCTGACCGTGCCCGCCTCTCGCCCTGCGCAGAGGAGGCCTGCGGCTTCCCGGGGAGCGTGGAGAACGGGGACTTCGTGCTCTGCGGGGACCCGGGACGACCTGTGCTGGTGTTTTCCTGTCGCCACGGGTTCCGGCTCCAGGGCCGGGAGCAGCTCACGTGCTCCCCCCATGGCTGGGACTTCCCGCCCCCCGTGTGTAAAGGTCAGTCATCTGACAGGCTGTCTTTTAATAACTTCACCCCCACATCTGCATTTTCAAATATGAATTAAAAATAAACGTCCTTGCCCTGCCAGCGTGGTCAGCGGTTGAGCATCAGCCTGGGATCCAGGAGATCAGGGTTCGATTCCCGGTCGGGGCACAGGCCCGGGTTGGGGGCTCGATCCCCCGCGGGGGGCCTGCAGGAGGCAGCTGGCCAATGACTCTCATCATCGATGTTTCTGTCTCTCTCTCCCTCCCCCTTCCTCTCTCTGAAATCAATGAAGACATATTTTAAAAATAAAAAATAATTTTAAAAAATCCCTTCACCAGAAGGTGCTCCTGAGACCCGTTATTGTCCCAGGAGCTGTTGGGCGTGGAAATCAAGTGTTCTTTCCTTAGCCGACCGCGGAGAGGTAGAGGGGCCTGTGGCTGCGGCCTGACCTCGGTGCGGTTCCTCAGACGTCGACGAGTGCGAGGACCCGAGGGAGCCGCCCTGCCACCCCTCAGCCCGCTGCAGGAACACCAAGGGCAGCTTCCGGTGCGAGTGCGCTGACCCCTACGTGCTGGGAGAGGACGGGAGGACCTGCGTAGGTGAGATCGCTCTCCTCGCCTGCCCCACCTGGGGTGGCGCACCCTCGGGTGACTCAGGGTCACCTTCCAGCTCCGCTGGGGGTGGCGCTTTCTATGCATCCACTCGGCTGCACGCTCTGATGCTGGAGGGAGCAGCCAGATCCGGTCCCTAAAGCCGAGGCGGGGCCACAGGACACGAAGCTGTCACGAAACACTCTGTGCTGGGCACAGTCCCAGACCATCAGCATCTCACGCCCAGTGAACCCTCTCTGTGAGCTCAGCACAGTGTTTAATCCGTGCACAGAACAGAGAGGTCAGGAGACTTGCTCAGCATCACACAGCCACTCGGTCACAGGCCTAGGATTCCTAACTCGCTTCTTCCTCCCGGTGGCCCCCCAGTCACAGCCCACTGCGCACCCACACCTTTCGGGGTCCCCAGGATGTCTGCACTGGGCTCCCAGTGCCCAGGTTGGGAGGAAGTTTTGCTGTCCTTGCAGGGAAGGCCAAGATGTCACCTGGAAAAGGCAGAGGTCACATGTGTCCTGCAAGCCATCCCCTCACCCTCGTTCAGGGGCCTCCTCTGTGGAAACGCTGCCCCTGGGTGGGTCCTGCTGACAGATGCAGGGGGCAGCTCAGGGCAGCCCAGTGCGAGTCATGGGCTCGGTGTCAGGGTCAGGGTCAGGGTCAGGGTCAGGGTCAGGCTCGCTGACCCCTGCCCTTGGCCCGACAGGCTTACTGACCGGCTTGTTCTCCCTGCAGACTCGGGGAGGCTCCCAAGGGCATCCTTGGTGTCCATCGTGCTGGGCGCCCTGCTGGTCTGCGGCCTGGCAGCCTTCACCTGGACGCTGATCTGGAGGTGGTAAGTCCCGTCCTCGGGTGACAGGAGCCCACTTCCTCCCCCGGGAGGCTGGTGATGCTGCGGCTCACCGCTCCGTCCCCACGTCCCCTCCGAGCCTGGGGAACGCCTGGGAGGAGGCAGCTCTGAGGAGGCAGAGGGAGGGTTTCCCTGGGACCCCAGGGGGAGGGGGAGAGGATCTGAGGGGCCTTCAGCTGCTGGGCTTTTGACCAGCCAGGTCTGAGTTCTTAAAACAGTCGACGAAACAATTTATGGTCAGTACTTGGCGACCACAATGTGTGTCTATCCCGAAACCCCACATCTAACGAGAGAAGAGAGATTTTCCTTCGACATAAACAATCAAATCAGCTCAGACGGATCAGAACAGAGAAACACCAGTCATGGGAGAGAGGGGCTCACACACCTGGCGTCGTTTCACACTCACCGCACCTGGACGCAGGTGCACAGAGGGAGCGGGTCAGCGTGGAGGTGAGCGTGGGCCCTGAGCTCCGGGTCCTGGCCAGCCTGCCGCTCGCTCTGATTAGGGGGCAGCTCAGCTCTGCCGTCGACGTCAAGAACCTTTACTCCCTGAGGGGGCGTTGTGGTGTGGAGTCCTGTCTGCGTGGCCAGGACACGTGAGCATTGTATGCACAACACACACTCACACACACACACACACACAATCAACACACACTCACACACACACCCACAACCAACACACACACTTCCATACATACCCACACACACCCACAATCACACACAACACACACTCTCACACACACACAACCACACACCCACAACCAACACACACTCTCACACACACACAATCACACACAACACACTCTCACACACACGCTTTCACTCACCCAAACACATCTACACACGCATTCACACTCATGCTCACACATTCATACACCCCCCCACACTTTCACACACACACAATCAACACATNAACACACTCTCACACACACGCTTTCACTCACCCAAACACATCTACACACGCATTCACACTCATGCTCACATATTCATACACCCCCCACACTTTCACACACACACATCAACACACNATACACCCCCCCACACTTTCACACACACACAATCAACACATACATACACACTCACACACACTCACACATTCAGCGCACACACTAGTGGGTTCTCCCAGCAATGATGGTGGCCACCACGTGTGTGCTTTCCCCCAGGACACACTGTGACTCCAAGTCCTCACTGCCGATCACGGAGAGAGATGGAAAGTCAGCCTCCCCGTCGGGCTGCAGGAGGCGCCAGGACCCGAGCGTGTCGCTGTGCGGAGCCCCCGCCCAGGGCTCGGAGCAGGTGGGCTCAGCTGTCCCCCCGCGTAGGTCTCCGCGCAGGTCTCTCTGAAGGCCTGGGAGGCGCATCAGGCTCCATTCTCTGCGCTTCTGTTTCCCGCACGGTCTCCACCCGCTGTGGCTGCTTCCCTCACTCAGGCCCTGTTCATGAGACGATTGTCCTCACTCTCACCCACTGTTAAGAAAGCGTAGAGGAGTTAGACGGGCGAGCCAGCTGGAAGGCCGACCCCGCCACTAAATGACCCGTTGCCNTCACCCACTGTTAAGAAAGCACAGAGGAGTTAGACGGGCGAGCCAGCTGGAAGGTCAACCCCGCCACTAAATGACCGGTTGCTGTCTGAGGGCTTCCGGGCACTGGCTTCAGCACCGTCTCAAGAACTGGCTGGAGACAGGCAGGAAATGAACTGATGGCTGAGAGAAAACGTTGACTTTTAAAATGTGCTTTTATCAAAAATGAAATAATTATGTTCAGTGTGGGGAGAATCAGTCTCCACTTACTTTTACCATTTTTACCTTGTGTGTAAGCCCCAGAGTGATGTTATAGTAGAAAGTCTCTTCTAGACACCTGCCTCTGTCCAAAATGTAAGTGATCGGCCGACCCTGCGACCTACAGAGCTAAAAAGACCCCAGGAGGGTTCTGTTTGCAGAGCAGATCAGCCACCGAGTTTGGAACTGAGAGCACCCACAGGACCCTCGGGCCCAGGTGCCGGGTCCCACTGGTCCCATGCTCAGCTCACTTCTCTCCCGCAGGACCCGGCCTGTGGATCCCAGGTCCTCCTCTGCGGTTAGGAAGCCGCCACCCTGCCCGCGGACACTGGGCTCAGCCAGCGGGGCTCCCAGCTGGTCAGAGGGCCCTGTCGGACCCCAACTTCTGTCCCAGAATGAGCGTCTCTGGCTGCGCCTGTTACAAAGGCAGACAGCGCCCCCTGGTGGCTGGTATGGGACCCCAGACGTGGCTCAGATGAGTTTCTGCACAGAGGTCCCCATCCTTGTACACCGGCCGCCTCTGGTCGTGCCTGCCTCTTGTTCCTGGAGTGACAACCACCACCTTGTCCCTCAGCTGCCGACCTGGAGAGCCTGGTTTCCTGTCAGCTTGCTGAGCCCGGGATGAGCTTCGAATCTCAAACTCCCACCGTTAGGCTGGGGCCCCACACGCTTATGCAGACTGCGCGTCCCTCACTCACCCATTGCTTCCCCAGAGCCTGCTGGGGGCAGGTGACGAGGGACAGTGAGCTGAAGCATGCACAGCATCCCTCAGCGCCCACAGGTGCAGCAGAGCTGGAAACGAGGGGCGCCAGAGCCCAGCTGGGGGACAGCAGGCGGACAGGGGGCCCCCTTCCCACTCCCCGGTGCTCTCCAGCCTCACGGCCAGGATGAGGCCCATCGATGCCTGCAGGGCTGTTGGCTTTGCTGTCCCCAGACTGGGATCTAACCTCATCACACCCTCTCACTGTGACGTCTGTGTCACCCTGACGTCTGTCCAGCTGTTTGGGCACCTGGTGGTCTAGTCACACTGAATGTGAAATAGGCCACACGGAGAGCTGGCTGGTTTTCAGTGATCTGGAAAGAGCACCCAGAATCTCACCGGGGAGACTCGTGCAGACCAGGGGGCAGCTGGAGCTTGAGACATGGAAGGCAGGGCACCCACTTGGTCTGACACCCTGGAGAAGATCTGGGGGGCAAACCTTGCAGGGAGGGGACCCCAAAGGAATATTCCTAGAGCAGGACCAGGATGTCCAAGTTACCTGAGTCTTTGCTTCCCTAGGCAGCCATTCCGCTCCAGGCAAAACATGTACACTGATACTGGGTGGAGCCTGGGGGTAGGGGAACAGTGTACCCCTGTGTGGGCCCGGGTTAGGGTGCATGGCTCTCCTCCACCTCCCTCCAGACCCTGTAAGCTGTGAGGGGTGTAACTCGTGTGAGCACCGAGGAGGGCCAGCCTGTGGGTCCCAGGTCAGGGTGAGCAAACTCCTAGGCCGGCAGTCAGTGTGTTCACCCCAGTACCCCGAGGAGGTGGCCAGCGGAAACTGCACCTCTCAGGTGACCCAAGGCCAGGACACAGCCCAGGTCCTGCTGGAATCCACTGCCAGCCCCTCCTGCCCAGGT